CCGGCTGAGGAGCAGCGGGACGTCGAGGGCAGCGACGACAGTGACGATGGAGGGGACGCCGAGGAGGTCCAGCCAGGTCCACGCCGTTCAGGCCGACTTCGGAGGCCGCCTGACTTCTTCGTCCCCGCTGCCTTCACCACGGTGTATGACATGGACGATGACAACGACCTGCTGTACGATGACGCCGAGGATGATGAGGAGTTTCCGGAGCTCGACCCCGACATGCTAGCCGACCCCGAGCACCGTTGGGACATCTCGACGATGACGGTGAAGGAGGCGTTGACGAGCTGGAAGGGCCCGGCGGTGAAGGCCGCCATGGAGGAGGAGATTCGCAGCCTCATGAACATGGGCACTTGGGAGCTGGTCAAACGCCCGCCGGGGGTGAACGTCATGAAGAACCGGTGGGTGTTGACGACGAAGTACCACATCGACGACACCGTCGAGCGAGAGAAGGCGAGGCTGGTCGTGAAGGGCTTCACACGGGTGTACGGCGCCGACTACGACGAGACGTTCGCGCCGGTGAGCAGCTACGTTACGTTGAGGATCTTCCTCAGCATCGTCGCTGTCCTCAACCTCAACCTGATGCAGCTCGACATGAAGAACGCCTTCCTGCAGAGCAAGCTCGATCGGGTGCTGTACATGTCCCAGCCGGACTACTTCAACGATGGGACCGGCCGGGTGTGCAAGCTGCTGAAGAGCCTGTACGGGCTGAAGCAGTCACCGCTGTTGTGGTACTTGGCGCTCAACGATGTGCAGGTCGGCGCCGGGTGGAAGAAGAGCCAGGTCGACGAGGCTCTTTACTTCAAGGTCGGCGAGGGTGGAGTAGTCTGCTGGGTGCTGGTCTACGTCGACGACCTGCTTGCCGCTAGCAGCAGCGCCGCGATGCTGAAGGAGCTGAAGGAGCTGCTGGAAGCCGCCTTCGAGCTGCGCGAGATCTCGCCGGTGCAGAAGTACCTCGGGCTGGAGATCGTGCGCGACAGGTCGGCGGGGAAGCTGTGGCTGCACCAGTAGGGCTACGCCGACAAGCTGCGTAGGTGCTTCCTCGACGAGGAGCAGACCGGGCGCACCCCGAAGACGCCGGTCTCGGTCGGTGCCTACGCCGAGCTCGCCTTCGATGACGAGGAGGCGCAGGAACGGCAGGAGGAGGAGTACCGACAGAAGGTCGGCTTGCTGCAGTTCGCGGCGACGACGACGAGGCCGGACATCGCCTTCGCCTGCAGCAAGCTGGGGAGGGGCCTCACGGTGAGGAGCGACCAGCACTGGCGCGAGGTCGACCGCTGCCTCGCCTACCTCGCCAACACACGTGACACTGCCCTGGAGTTCGGCGGTGGACCCGAGTCGCTGAAGATGGTCGGCTACGTGGATGCCGACGACGCCGGTGACAAGCAGAACAGGACGAGCACGAGCGGCTACGTGTTCGTCTACGGAGGGGCTGCAGTCTCCTGGTCGAGCGAGCGCATCAAGTGCGCGACGTTGTCGTCGACCGAGTCGGAGTACGTGGCGGCTACTGAAGCTGGCAAGAAGGGACGCCGCCTTCGCTTCCTCCTCGCAGAGTTCCGGCAGCTGGACGCCGAGAAGCCGACTGTCCTGCGCGTGGACAACAAGTCGGCCATCACGGTCGCCGAGGGCATGGGGTTGACGGGCAACCTCAAGCACATGGAGCGGCAACAGGCCTGGCTGCAGCACATGGTGAAGCGCGGGAAGTTCTCGCTGCAGTACATCCCAACCGCTGAGCAGCCGGCCGATTTCCTGACGAAGGCGCTGCACTATCCGGCCTTCAACCGGTGCTCCGTCACAATCGGTCAGGTGCGCTTGGCCGACGTGAGCGACGACGACAACGACGTGCAGCAGTAGGTGCCAAGCCCTCTTGCATGGCTGGTGCGGTGACCAGCGTGCTGTGTGTTGGGTGCACGCCGACAGACTATTCTCGGAGCTGTACTGCCGTGTGGGCTAGGGGGCCCAAGCGTGAACGCGGCAGGGGAGTGTCAACGGGAGCGTTCTAAGGCCCCGTCCTTGCTTGGGCAAAGCCAACCTTGTGGTCGGATGTGCGAGGGTTGCAGCCGGCCTGCAGCAGTGGGCACGGGGGCCACTGCAAGGGCGCCGAGCAGGAGGACGCCGCCCTGGAGGCCTGGTTGGCGCCCCGGACACCTGGACGGCGTCCTGGGAAGCTGGACGCCGAGCTGGGCGTCGCCACGACCACCCGGACGTCTGGTCGACGTCGTGGGCGTCTGCACGGCGTCCGGGGGTCCGGACGCCGACCTGGGCGTCGGGTCCCGACACCGACCTGGGTGTCTAGTCGGCGTCCTGGGAGGAGGGACGCCGCTCTGGAGGCTTTGGTCGGCGTCCTGGGCGTCTGGACGCCGACCTGGGGATTCAGTGGCGTCCTGGGTGCGCCTGGACGCCGGACTGGGGACGCCGGGCATGCGTGACCGGCTACGGACTGCGCGAGTCGACCAGGCGTGGTTGCCCGGTCGATTGGGATACCCGGGCGACATGCGCGAGTGTCGCCAGGGTGGAGATTGCGAGACCGACCTCGGGGGTGGTATCCCGAGGTCGACGTGGCTGGTGGACACAGTCGCTGGCGTGGAGTCTGCCAGGCGTCTGCGTTGTGCACGTGACAAGGAAGTGCGCACCAACCAGCTCCGCGCACCTGCGAAGCAGGTGCACCGTTGTCCTGCGGGTGCAACGCTGTGCAGCCGGCTTGCTGCAGCACAAGCACACCGTGGACTTGCAACGTTGACGAACCGCTGCTCTGCAACGCTGGAGCGGTGCGAGCGCTGCTGCGCTGGAGCGCGGTCGACCGTGCTGCGTTGGAGGTTGACCAGCAGCCTAGCTAGCACTGATGTAGTCTGTGATGCCAATGTTGTTTCTATCATTGTTCTGAACTTTTCCTAGTGAAACTCTTGCCAACTTTCCCCGTGAACTAGCAAGTAGTGTATGCACAAGGAAAACGACTAAGGACTAACGAACGCAGAGATCACACGAGCACACGTGCCTAGCCCATAGTCTATCTCCCGTTGCAGCAGTTATCTCCGCATGGTGCGATGAGCGTGGAGGACACCGCGACGTAGTTCAGTCTAGCCGACTTAGCACATGACTTTTCGACGAACATTTATCTCCCACCCAGACAGTGCCTTGTGATGTCGCTCGCACGCCATCTAGATTGAACCTCTGCTTCAGATACGTAACGGTCCAAAACTAACTTGGTTGCCCATTTCACTCCATATTTTATCAATATAGCTTATCATGATCACACTGATTTATGTACAACGAATCTGCAAATTTACCTTCACCCACAACTCTGTTGCTTGTATTGTTCGTGAGTTTCTCTACAAGCAGCTTCAGTTCAGCAAGGGAAAAAGTAGGCAGATGAGGGGAGGGGAGCACAAGCACAGGGCATAGCCATATCAACCGCGCCCCACACGGCACGGCACGGCACGGCACGCACAATGTCTTCAGACCAACACAGCCATTGTTGCCAGTCCAAGGTGACCCGGAGTGCACGCAACCACTTCGGATTTCATCGTGTAGTACACGGTTATGGGAGCCGCAGTTGCGCTTAGGTTTCGCAGCGCGTAGACGATTGTGGGCGCGAGATTATTCTCAAGAGCCCTGGGGATCGAATACGCGCGGTATCGATTGCGCGTGCTTGTAGGCATATGTATATAAACTAGTGGGCCTCATCGGGAATACGCACCCACCTCGTCGACTATCACTGATCGCACTTGTGAGGCACCGACGCTTACCCAGCCATTTCCTAGTCTGCGACCCTGAATTCACCTCCGCGTTGCTTTTTGAGGCGCCTCAATAATCGCCTCAAAACCGACGCGTACCCAGCCACTTGCTAGTCTGCGACCCTGAATTCACCTCCGGCGCGTTGCTGCCTTCTGGTTGGTTGAATCAGTCCCTCTTTCTGTCTCGACACTTTTTCCTGTCCAATTCGCCCAACCGTTCCCAACCGACTACCGCCGCTTGTTCTACAAGGAAGCTGCTACTACCGCCGCTTCTGACGAGGCTAGTGCCTCTGGCACCCGTCGCCGCTACTTGCCGAGCCTCTTTCGTCACCACCGCGAGCACCAGCATGGGAGATTCCAAGCTCGCTGTCGCGCTGCTCGTCGTCATCCTCGTTGGTACGCTTCCCAACCTCGAGGCATTTTGCGCGACGCTCGTTAGAAGCTTACACGCTGCTCGATTAAACCCCAATTCCGTACACATCCGACTCCTGAGTCGAATAAAAAAGCGTCACATTCGCGAGTCGCTTGTTACTTAATCGGGGTTTCCCGTTCCCCATGTAACGTCCTCGCAGCGAGTGAGGTCGTTGTCGCTGACTGTCGCCCTTCCCCGTGTCACTTCCTGCTCTCCCTTCCCCGTGTCACTTCCTGCTCTCCCTTCCCCTCCATGTGACGTCTTCGCAGCAAATGAGGCGGGAGTGTCGCTGGCGTTGGGAGAATCTGCCATCAAAGGGACGACTGCTGGCGGCGGCTGCACCGACCCGACTGGTACTACGGGCGTGACTTTTGCCCTTCCTTGTGTGACGTGTCTTGCCATTCTCCCTTTCCCTCTGTGTGATGTCTTTGCAACGAGTGAGATGGGAGTGTCGCTGGGAGCACCAGCCGCCAAAGGCACGACTGCTGCCGGCTTATGTGCGCGTGGACTCTTTTTGAGGTGTCTCAAAAACACCTTCTTTTCATGACGGTGGTGCGGGTTTATGTGCGCGTGGGCTCGGTGATGCTCCTCGGCTCGGCTCGCTCGTTCCGACCTTTTCGCTTGGCTTTCCGTCTTTGCCCTTCTCTGTTTGACATGCTCGCAGCGACGGCAGCAAATGTTGTGGCTGCCAGCGATGGGGTGGCTGCCAGCGATGGGGTGGCTGCCAGCGATGGGGTGGCTGCCAGCGATGGGGTGCGGCTTTATGTGCGCATGGGCACACTGATGCTCCTCCTCGGCTCGCTCGTTTTCAACCCTTCCCTTCCCTTTTTGTCTTCGCCCTTCTCCCCGCAGCCATGGGAGCGAATGCCGCTGCGGCCACCGACGTGGTGCGGCTGTATGTGCGAATGGGGACCGTGATGCTCCTCGGCTCGCTTGCGCAGCCGCGCAAAGTCCGATTCGAATTTGAGCGCTGCGTATCTGTGGGGACGGTGATGCCCGAAGTCGCGTCCGCGAGCGGCGGCGGAGGAGGTGCGGTGGACGCGCTGCTGTTGTGGGACGTGTTTTTGGGTGACGCGCTTTTCGAGCGCACGGTGTGCGACGCGGTGCAGCTGTTCGCGTCGCCCGACTGCTCGGGTACTGCAGCGGCAGAGTACCAAAACACGGTTTACCACACAAGGGACATGAGGTGAGTGCTCACCCGCTTGTTCCTGGCGGGGGGGGGGGGGGGGGGTGTGGGGCGGGGGGAGGGGGATGTGCTGGTGTGGTGTGGTGGGACGTGTTTTTGGATCGTACGGTGTGCAACGCGGTGCAGCTGTGAGCAGTGCGTTCAAGATGGGTGCACCAGTGAAGTCCATCCTACTGCTGCCATATGTGCCCTGCACCTGCTCCCATACGTCCCTCCCATGCGTCCCTCCCATGCGTCCCTCCCATGCGTCCCTCCCATGCGCCCCTCCCCCCTGTGTCTGTGTGAGCAGTGCGTTCAAGATGGACGCATCTGTGAAGTCCATCCGCTGCGTTCTCTGTGAGTGCCTTGCTGCTGTCACCATGCATTCGCCTCTCTGCTGTTATTGCTATGCATGCCCTGCTTCTCATGCATCGCCTTGAACAAACATCACTCGCAGCTTCCACCTGTGCCCTGCGGCTACCATACATGCGCTTGCTGCTATTGAGTGGGCCATGCGCTTTCTGCTGCATGCATTCACCTCTCTCGCTACCATTACTATGCATGCCTTGCTGCTCATGCATCGCCTTGAACAAACATCACTTGCAGCTTCCACCTGTGCCCTGCGGCTACCATGCATGCGCTTGCTGCTATTGAGTGGAGCACGCGCTTCCTTTGAGTCGACTCAAAAGCAGACTCCTTTTGAGTGGAGCCATGCGCTTCCTGCTGCATCTTATGTCGCTTTTCCTCATGAGTCATGCCTCTCCCCCCATTCTTTCCCCCATGCCTCTCCCCCCATTCTTTCTTCCATGCCTCTCCCCCCATTCTTTCCCCCATCCTTCTCCCCCCATGCCATTTCCTCCCATCCCATCCGTCTCACCCCTTCCTCCCATGGGATCCAGACGACATCTGCAACCGTGTCAAGTGCCCGGAACACTCCACGTGCATCAAGACAAACGACAGCATGGAGGTGGCATGCCAGTGCGCCCAGGGCTACCGCAACGTCTACGGCAAATGCAAGCCCGAAGAACCTTCAACCGAATGTAAGTCTCTGCGTTGAATGTACATTAAGACAAATGACAGCCTGGAGCTGGGGTGCCAGGGCGCCCAGGGCTGCCGTAACGTCTATGGTCAAGGCAAGCCCCAATTGCCTTCCCTCTCGCCTTTCGTGGGGTGGCATGCCAGTGCGCCCAGGGCTACCGTAAAGTCTACAGTCAATGCCAACCTCACTAGCTTCCCCTCTTCTCTGTAATCCCTCGCTTCCACTCTTTATTTCCTTCACGCTCTATCTTCCCCCCCTCTCTCTTCCTTTCCCGTCCTACATCCCCACCTCCCCCATCTCCCTCCCCGCCTCCCTTTTGCACCCTGTCCATTGTCCCAATCTCTCTTCTTCCTTCCTGTCCCGTCCTACATCCCCCTCCTCCCCTATCTGCCTCTCGACCTCTCTCTCGCACCCTGTCCCCATTCTGCCTCTGCCTTCTCTCTCTCTCTCTCTCTCTCTCTCTCTCTCTCTCTCTCTCTCTCTCTCTCTCTCTCTCTCTCTCTCTCTCTCTCCCTCTCCCTCTCCCCTCTTCCCCTCTTCCGTCTCTCCCTCTCCCTCCTCTCAATCATCTTCAAAGTGTGTGCTAATCGTCCATTCTCATCTGTTGCACAACTCTTCCTCCTTCTCTCCCCTTCCCCGTCCCTCTGTCCTCTCTTTCCTTCCCTCTTACCATCTTCTCCCACCATACATCCCTGTGCTAATTATGCATTCTCGCCTTGTCTGTTGCATGCAGAGCCCTCCAGCGCCACTGCTCTGCCGAGAGCCATGGCACAAACCCTCAAGCCTCTCCAGTGCTGTACTGGGCCCTAAAAAGCACAGCCCATGAATAGCAGAGTTTTTAAAGAGCGCCTGGAGTGGCAGTGCTGCCACGAATTTCTCGGGGTGCCAGTTTGGGAAACCAGAGCGGCGGACAGGAGTGCCTTATTACACAGACTGCCCTTGTTTTGTGACTGCTGAAGTGATCAAAATAAGACGTAACAGAGACCTTATGCTGCGTTCTTACGTTTTCCAGACACGTCCTGAAATCTGGAACATTTTTTCAAAAATGGTTGCATGGAGTGTATAAAAATTTACTGTACCTCATGTCATGTTCAGTAGGGTAGGGGCCAACAATGTTCAACAACAATCTCTCAAGCTCTACCCCAGTGAGTTGTCACCCGCACATCACCCCGAACTCGTACCATGAGAAAGCTTCCAGTACTAGCGCTATATGTCAAATGTTGTAGCCGGTAGTGAGGTTTGTCTTAGGGGGTACAGAAGTTAGGGTTTGTTATATGTACCCCAACCAACATCAATGGCATCATCATTCCTCATTTTGACATGGTATCAGCTAGGTTAGGATCCTGTGGGATCCCGTTCCTCCGTTCTCCGTTCGTCCCTCCCGAGCCTGATCCTACCTCTCGTTCGTACCGGTTCCGTTGTTACCGCGCCTAGTACCGAGCCTAGCGCCCTCTCCCCCGTCGCTTAGCGCCCTTTCCCCCCGTCGCCTAGCGCTCTTTCCCCCCGTCGTGTCGCGCCCGTTCCCCCCGTCACGTCGTGCCCGCCCTTTCCCCCCCGTCCCGTCGCCCTGTCCCGTCGCGTCGCCTTGCCCCGTCCCGTCGCCCTGCCCCGTCGCGTCGCCCTGCCCCGTCCCGTCACCCTGCCCCGTCGCGTCGCCCTGCCCCGTCGCGTCGCCCTGCCCCGGTGCGTCGCCCTGCCCCGTCCCGTCACCCTACGCCCTGGCCCGTCGCCCTACCCTACGCCCTGGCCCGTCGCCCTACCCTACGCCCTGGCCCGTCGCCCTACCCTACGCCCTGGCCCGTCGCCCTACCCTACGCCCTGGCCCGTCGCCCTACCCTACGCCCTAGCCCATCGCCCTACCCTACGCCGTGGCCCGTCGCCCTAGCCCGCTCTTCCGCTGCGACTGAGTCCCCTTCCCACCTGAACCCTAATTCGCCTCTTCTCCCCGGTTGTTACTCGCCTGTTCGTTCGCGTTAGTTCTCACTATGGCGACTCCGCGAGTTCTTCGTTTCGACGCTGACGGTAGACCACTTGACTTTTCCGTCTGGCTTCTTCGCGCTCGCCGTCTGTTAGAGAGTCAGGTCCAGGGGGGCGAGACCCTCTGATCGCACGCTACTGGTGACCTCCCCGAACCCCCCGAGCCTACAGCTTTAGGCTCTGCCCCTGACGACGCTGCTACGGCTCGCTTTGCCCGTCAGCGCGCTGACCGGACGGCTTGGACGTCGCGTGACGCTGCGGCCTGCATCGCACTCAGCAGCCTCCTCCCTGAGTCAGAGGAGGTCCACTTTACTCAGGTTTGCACCGCTGCTGCGTACCTCACTGCGATTAAGGCCCGCTACTCTACTCCCGCTACTGTCTCTCTTGGCCGTCTTTTCCTCCCGTTCCTGTTTCCTGATCTCGCCTCGTTTGAGCGCTCTGCTGACTTGATCACTCACCTCCGCTCGCTCGACGCTAGTTACCGCGCTGCTTGCACTGAGGCACAGCTTGCACTGCTTCCTCCCCCCATGGCGATCACTGTCTATTTCATCGCCACTAGCCTCCCTGACCGCCTAGCCTCCGTTCGTGACGCGCTTCTGCTGAAGCACCCTAGTGAGCTGACTATCGAGGTCCTAGAGTCTGCACTCAAGGACGTCGAGAGCAACCTTCGCTCGGTAGCTGCCGCCTCTGGTACTGTGTCCCCCCCACTCTTCCACGGGTGCACAGTCCCGCAGTTACCCACCTTCACTGCCTCTCTCGCCACTGCCGCTACTGACGCGACTGCGGCTGCTGTTACGACTGCGTCGCGGTCCCGCGGCAAGGGGGGCAAGAAAGGTAGTTCTGGTGGAGGTGGAGGTGGAGGTAGCGGAGGTACTGGGGGTGCTGTTGCGACTGGCGGTGGTGGGAGTGCAGCGTCTGGAGAGACCCCTCGTGCAGCGGCTGGTGACTCCACTGCGCCTGCTGGTGGCGGCGACCCCCGAGCTCGTCAGTCGCCTCCTGTACTGCCGACCCTGCTAGGTGGAGCAGCGGCGTGGTACCAGGCTCAGCGTCAGCAGCACCTTCAGCAGCAGCAGCAGCCCCTTTCCTCCCGCCAGCCTCAGCAGCAGCAGCGTCAGCAGCTGGCTCCGGGGTCGGGGCTGCGTCAGCCCCAGCGCGGTGCTTCTTACCCTCCCTGCACCTATCAGGTTCTGACAGGTCCTCGTCGGGGCCACCCTTGTGGCCGCTTTCCCCCCCCTGGTCAGTGCTTTGCTCAGCTCACTGACACGGTCCGGTTGGCCTACGGGGTTGGCGGTCCTGCTCTTGACTGGCTTCCTCTGGTTCAGCGTTACGGCTCCGCTCTGTGGGGCATGTGTGCTGAGCAGTTAGTTGATCTGATTGGTGCTCCTCATGCTATGTATGCTGTTGTTGACTCTAGTGTTTCTGACTCTGTTTACTCTGGTGTTGTTAGCTTAGGTGCTAGTCTTGCTCAGTTGCCTGTTGCTAGTGTAGGTTCTTGTGTAGACTCTAGCCCAGCGACTACCTCAGAGGACGCTTCGCTGTCGTTCACGCTGGACTCTGGAGCCTCACACTGCTTCTTCCGGGACAGCACGACACTTACACCACTTCCTGCGCCTGTTTCTGTGGCTTTGGCTGATCCCACTACAGGACCAGTCACTGCACGTCACACTACCACTTTACCGTGTCCTGCTGCTCCCTCCGGGTCTCTCACTGGGTTTCACGTCCCCTCGTTCTCCCAGAACTTGGTGGGCGTGCGACCCCTCGTGAGTCAGCACGTGGGTGTGTGGTTTGAGCCTTCTGGAGAGACTGCGGTGTGTGTTGACGGAGACTCTTACCAGCCTCTTGCTACCTTTACTGCTGAGCCGGGCTCAGGTCTCTACACTCTTCACACTGGCCCGCGTGCGCCGCAGCAGCAGCCGCAGCAGCAGCAGCAGCCGCAGCCGCAGCAGCAGCAGCAGCTGCACCAGCGGTCGCACCAGCAGCCGCCCCTACTGCCACTGCCCCCGGTTCCCCCCCCCGTTCGGGTCCCCGCGTCTCCCCAGGTTGCTTCGTCCCCCCAGGTGTCTGTGTCGTGTCAGGTTCCTACGTCGGCTCCAGTCGCTGCGTCGTGCTCCTGCCGGTCGCTTGCCCACCCCACCGTTATGTGGCACCACCGGATGGGGCACCCGTCCCTTCCTCGTCTGCGCGCTATGTCTAGTCAGCGTCTTGTCCTAGGCCTCCCACGTGTCTTGCCGTCGCTGCCGCCTTCGCTTGCACCGCCGTGTGGTCCCTGCGTCGAGGGTCGGCTGCGCACCACCCCTCACTCCTCCTCCCTTCGTCCGGCCACCGAGCCTTTTAAGACGCTTCACTTGGACGTCTGGGGCCCCGCCCCTCGTCTAGGCCCTGAGCGTGAGTGCTACTTTCTGGTGGTCGTTGACGACTTCTCCCGCTACACCACAGTGTTCCCTCTGGCGAAGAAGTCTGAGGTGACTTCTACGCTGATCAGGTGGTTGCTCACCACCGAGGACACTCGTGGTCATCGTGTCAGCTGCCTCCACTCCGACCGTGGGGGTGAGTTTCGCTCCGGCATTCTCGCTGGATTCTGTCGCGAGCAGGGCATTCGTCAGTCCTGGACGCTTCCAGAGTCCCCACAGCAGAATGGGGTTGCTGAGCGCCGCATAGGCCTGGGGTTGGAGCTGGAGTTGGAGCTGGGGTTTGTGGTTTTGGAGTTGGAGCTGACCCGGTGGGTGCAGAGGACTCTTGTCGTCCGGGAGCTGGTGCTGGTCGCGCGGACACTGGGGGTGAGAGTGCGCCTCCTTCGGGTTCTGGTGAGCCTGGGTCTGGAGCTGGTGTTAGTGCTGCCTCTGGGGGTGGTGCGCCTGGTTCTTCAGGGGTGGACTCTGGAGCTACCGCTGCTTCGGACACTACTCCGCCCCCCCACCCCTACCCGACTAGGCACCAGGCTCGTGTTCGCCGTGCCCGTGACGAGCTGCTGGCGTTGGAGAGAGAGGAGAGGGAGTTACAGTGGCTGGAGGAGCAGCAGCAGCAGCTGGAGCCGCAGGAGCAGCAGCAGCAGCAGCAGCAGCTGGACCCGCAGGAGCAGCAGTCCCAGCAGCAGCCGCTTCCGCAGCAGCAGCAGTCGCAGCAGCAGCAGCAACAGCCACTTCCTCCTCCTGTCTCGGGTCTTCGGACCCTTGGTCTCCCCTCCCCTTCTCCTCCCTCCTCCGCCTCTCCTCCTGTCTACGGTCCCACGTTTCCTCCTCCTGACTCCTCCCCCGCTGTTTTTCCCAGTTCTCCGCCTTTGTCCTCTCCTCCTCCGTCTCGTTCTTGGGCTACTCGTCGCTCCCCTCGTGCTCGTCCCTCGTCTCCTGTTCCCTTCACTGACCTTCGTACTGCCTTCCTTCTTTCTAGTCCACCTCGTCCGTCTCAGTCTGTGCTTCCGTCTCCTCCTGAGTCGGCCCTCACTGTGTCGCTCCCTACTCCTGTCACTGACTACTACCGCACGTACCGTCCTGTTCTCTCTCGTGTTCTCGCCTCTCTTGTTACTCACCCTCGTGCCTCTGTGTCCTCTGTGTCCGCTCTTACTGCCGCAGTTACTGACTTTGCCTCTACTCGCCGCCTTGACTACGCCACCACGCTTGTGGCTGCTCCTCCTACCAGTCCTCTGGCCGTCGAGGGTGTGTCTGCCCTTGGCTGTGACGCCCTAGAGGACAGGCAGTTTGAGCTAGAGTTCCTGGCGGCCGCTTCCCCTCATCTCTGTGCCATGCGCCTCGCCCCTGAGGGTGACCCCGACGCCCTTGACATTCCGACTCCTCGCACTTTCGCTGAGGCAGTGTCAGGGCCTTGGGCCTCTTAGT